TTGTCTTTTGTTTGACACCAAGCAAATGACTCTGATGTCATTTCATCCTTTCCCTTGTGAATTTTATTTGAATTACTTCACTCCTGAATGTCATAAAATCAGGATCATGTGGCCAGAGTGCTGAAGGAAGGACTTTGAACAGTAAAATTTATATAGCCTCGATCAAGACACTCTTCAGCTTATTTTGGGATGTTATCATTCTAATACATATCATGTTTTAAATTACAACTGAAGATAAAAGTCTATATATTTTTTTTTCATTTCGCTTCAATTGTAACGCATATTTATCATGAACCTATTCTGGGAAATCATACTAATTGAAAACATGTTTATACATGTTTTGTAACAGAGCAGAAGTTGTCTTGGATGTTGTACCAAGCCTGCTCCTATTATTGCTGTTGATGAGCCTTCAAAGGGTTTGAAAATCCAAGGTCGATTAGTGAAGAAACCTAGTATATCTGAAGAATTTTGGAGTACAAGCACATATGAAATGGAAAATAGTAGAGCTCATTCACAGAGGAGCATTTCTTCAATTAGCACCTTGGCACAAACCTTTGATCACCATGGTGGAACTGGAAGCACAAGCAATCCTCCGGAATTTGTGAATCATGGTAAGTGTAAGGTTGATCTAACAATCTTTGAGTGTCCTTGCGACAGAATAGCAATTATTTCTAGCTGAAGTAATTAAATTATTGGAGACAATATTTGCTTTGATGTTTTCTGCAGTTTACTGATGTATAGGATGCATAGCAGAAACCTCAGCAAAATTGTCCTGATTCCCTGGTGAGATAGTTGTATTGTGATTGGCAAATATCATCAGGTCCAACGTCCAACACATAAGCTGACATCAGATGTCTATAGGGTTACATTTCAGCTTTTGAGGTCTCTATGACTGAGATCTTACACCATCATATTGAGTTCAAAAAGAGGCTGCAGATACAAAGTACAAAAACTAAGTGTTTAATTAATTATAACTAAACAATTTGAATTATTCTAATTTAATTGTGAGACTGAATCTGCTGGTAGAGGTTCAGAATTGTTTCAAATTTTTTGCTAGAACTAGTGGATTTTTATAATTTTGCTGTCTGAATGATACAGAAAGTGGATATAGTAAATTTGCTTGGCTCATGTTGATATATAGTTTCTGTAATATGCTTTACTTGATAATTGGAACTTTATATTCACAGGTTTTCTTCTATGGAATCAAACAAGACAGCAATGGATTGGAAAAGGAAGGCTTGAAAGCCAGTCAAAGCAAGTTCAAGAACCAAGGTTAAGGTATACTCATAAATAAATTCCTTCCTCATGGTTAAAAGAACATGTCGCTATTTTAAGTGTGTCATTACTTGTAAAAATTTAACACAATCTGATAACCCTCCTGCTGTGTGTCAAAAGAAACACCAGTTAGCTATATCCAGCTAGTCAAAGGCTATTGGACTGGCAAAAGACTAGTGTTCCTCATCTTGCCATGTAAGATAATTCAGTCATTTGCACAGATAATTAATTACCTAGTAAGATTGAGTCACTATATCTAACATGAAAAACGATCATAGTGATTCAGTGTGTAGCACAACCCAATGAAAAACAATTGTTCCTACTTCCTATCTACCACATATTAAGTCAAGTGGTGTTCGCCTGCTCACATACTGTAGACGAAAAGGTGGATTGTTCTTACAAAAATATACTTCTGGTTTTCCCTTTTGATCTCCATATAGGTTTTGAAAATCACTGAATATGGATGACATTTAAATGCTCTGGAATTACAAGCATGAACTGTTAAAATATTTAGATTTTCTCCACTTTTGAGATTGAGAGATCATACAAATTTGCTTCCTTGTTGATTTAGCTGTAGAAGCTATCACTGTATGACTTTTGTGGATGCAGTTGGAATGCAACATATGACAGTTTGCTTGGGAGCAACAAGCCATTTCCACAGCCCATTCCTCTATCAGTAAGAACCACACCTCTAACAATTGTTGTAGCTTGTGTGGCCCAAATTAGTTTGGATGTTTAATATCCGAATGCATCTTTGATGTCAGGAAATGGTAGAGTTTCTTGTGGACATCTGGGTGCAGGAGGGATTGTATGATTGAGACCAAAAAAAGGTTTGCTCTCGAAGCTACGCAAACTGTGAAAAGTGAGGTTTGCCAAGAGGTCACTGGCATGCAAGCTGTGAAAAGTATGATTTCATTGAAGCAGCCAAAAGGTCACTGGTATTCCTTGTCGGGATATCTATCTAACTGTATATGGTTTGCTATCACAATACCAATATGATCTGTATTGCTTGCCTAGTTGAGTATCTTTAGCCATTGTTGCAAAAGTAAGTACGGATGTCAAGCATTAGTCTAATCGTATATCTTTGGATTGCCAGTCTTTTGAATTTAGAGCTTTAGCTGCAGATACAAAATTTGGCATTGGAGGTAGAGGTGTTTTAGC